CGTACAGATCAGTTGTGATTCTCCTCAGTGAGTTGAAGCCAGCCTTCCGTTTTAGCAGGAGTTTCCATATGGTTGGTATTGAGAGTTCATTTCGTTTTCACTGATGACGAAAAGACTATTTTCAATGTTATTAGCCGACTAGCCTATCTGAATGCTCGAGTTCGCCCAGTATTTCTAGAATTTTTAGCATTTCCTCGGGATTCATCTTCTCAGGTTAGTTCAGGATTTTCCTCAATAATCAATGTAGAAGTCCACTCACGAATCGTGAGTGGACTTCTAAAAATTAGTGTAATTACTATAATTCTACAATTAATTCGTGAGTCACGAATTAGGGTAGAAGTGTACAGAAACCAATGAGAAAGAAAATCCCAAAATTGCCTCAGCATCTCTACAGTACATTGTCACCAACACATTCAGTTGACCATGTGCATATTTTCCTACACTTGTCTATACTAAACGCTCTGAGTGTTTCTTTCCTTGCTCAGAACGTCGGTCTCAAAGAACATCACTGAGGTCTTTGAGCGATCCGTCAGCTCCCCTTGCCGTGGTAGGCTTGTGGATTGGGTTAGCGAATATTGGCGACCGAGTGTGCAAACCGCTAGTCGGCTAGTTGATGTCATCGAATACGAAATAAATGAGGAGTTCTCTCCTGAGGAAGGGCCGCACTGGGAGGGTGATCCGAGGAGCTTCTCATTCCTACCCTACGAGCACATCCTCGCCAATCATGCTGGGCAGTGGATTGAAGGAACCCTCAAAGAGCCTAGGCATGCCGCGCAGGTAGGTGATTTATGCGGTGCCGGACTTGACGTATGGTGTAACTGTTTCGGACCATTCGCCATCGACGGATGATCTTCGATAAGTGCAGCGCTCGGATCTCGACGTAGGGCCACTCTGAATGACGATCTATCCATTGGGTTTGTTGTGAGAATATGCACATTGAATTGTTCGATTGTTGAGGTTAGTCGTCCGGTAGTTGTCTTTGGGATAGTCGATTTGCCTAGCTGGTCATCTACCGTTAGACTTGCCAGTTGCCATCATCGAAATGCCGGGGAGTGAGCATTCTCATCGGTGTCGCCCTTCATTGACCGGATATCCATCTTTGCAGGTCAAGCCTGATGTTCGTCCACTTGACACCAACGAGCTACCGAAGAATGTTGTCTTCAAAAATGCTTTTGAACGATTTTGGAGACAAGATGTGAATTTGCGCACTATGAATGATACGCTCCCTGATACCTTCACTCTCAGCCCTTCGTTAAAGCTCTCTGGGAACAGTGGCAGTCCTATGGGGATGAGTTGGAGTGGAACCCCTGTATTCTCCGGGCGCCCACACGGAGGAGTGACGGTGTCATCAATACGTGCTCGATCGGTATACTCGATTCGACTAGAGTATATCTCTGGTGTGAAGACTTTGGGCTCTGGACAGGCCTGTAGAGTGTATTGATGTCGGCTTGGAAGAGGTTATTTCTTTCTTTTTTAGGCCCAAACTCTTCTCGTTGGCTTCTTGCATGGAAATATTATCTAGTACCAACATACTCGGTAAATGCTACGGCGCTCTCGTGGCGTTATTGCAGTCAGCTATCAACCTGGAGCTCCAGGGCTTAAACATCACCACTGCATCGCAGATGGATCCTTTCTACAAGGCAATAGAGAGAGATATTGAAAACAAGGATGAGGAAAGAGCCAAGCCCTTCATCGTGAGCAGTCCTGACACGGTAGCGTCCTACATCTTGGAAGTCATTCATAATACCTTCATAAACGCTATATGATGCATCACTGTGTTATTGGTTGTTGTTGGTGTGTCTGCTGTAGAATGCTGTGGTGTTGTGGTATTGCAAGGAGGGCTTGTCACAGGGTGGGGGGATATGCATATGGTTGACCATGTTTGTTGGTGATAGTATGGAAACTCTGAGGCAATAGCTGTGACGACCTCAGTGACGACAAATTGCGGGAATCAATTCCGCTGTTATTAAGACGAACAATTACACCGAGGTGCCGTATCTGGGGTCGATTCAAGTGCTCTAATTTCCGAGGTCAGACAAAAACTACGAATTAAAGTACGGTCGATAATCCGAGCTTTCGATCGAGCTCGTAATTCCTATTGCTTGATGATAGAGTGGGACGCTTTCCGATCGGAGTGTTCAACTTTTCGAGTTCCGAGGCCCGAGCTCGGAGAAACACAATCGTGCACAGTGCATGGGGCACTGAGACAACAGATCTGGAGCCTCACTGGAAGCAATGTCACTCCTGGTTCTTTGGTTTCATTCTCACATGTTCCATTCAGTGCCATTGTCCTGTGAAATGGTAGTTGATGACCAAGATCACTGAAGTTGAGTCACTCGTCGATGAAGCCGATGATGGGATGAAGGGAATAGAGGTCGGTTGCCTCACTGGACTCCAGTGACTGAAGCACCTTCCTAGCATCAAATTAATGATGATTGCTCAACTTGATCGCGAAGATCGAACCGTCCAAAGCTCTCTTCTGCGTTTCCCGGATCTTCTTTGTTGTCCTTCAGAAATTACTATCATTCGACGTCACGACGCAGTCTACGTCATCAAGGAGTTCTGCAGCAGTAGAAGTTAAGAAGTTTTCCCTCAGTCAAATGCTGCATTGCCAAGAGACGAGCCATCCCTTCACTCGCGATGTCGCTGTCACCTGTGAGAATTCAGACGAGCTGCGTTTGGATATGGTTCGGATGAGAACTGAGCTGGAAGAGCTCCGCGTCTCCGTACGGAAAGGTGACGCTCTGGATCGAGGCGTCGGCGATTCCCTGATATCGACTAGGGATGAGTCCACTGCCATGACTGCGCGGAGCAGTGGACACTTGTCAAATGGTAGGTGTCGGCTTGTGCCGAAGATTGCCCTGGGAACCATCGAGGGAGTGATTGACGATGCGGGCCTGGCTGATAGGGTTTTCACTGAGAGCACATCGACCATCACGAACGGCACGAGCGTTTATGATGAAGCATCTCGTGATGCGGGGAGAAGGAGAGATGTTGTTGGGAGTAGCGATGAGCATTGGCAGCTTTTGATGAGGTCGGCGGAAGCCTCAAGGAGAATCTTGCGCAACCGGGCGATCGCAGCTAGCCGGAACCAGCCCCTCATTCTTGATAGTGATGGAGCCCGAAAATACTCGGTCCCTCTCCCGCAGTCTTGCGCTATGCGCACTGGCCTAGGGGTGGGCATCACAGCGGCGGATGTAGGCGTACCCGAAGATGATCGGACCTCTCGATCGGAACGTAGCATGTTACCGAGGAGACCACTTGGAAATACTCGGTATCATAGCATTGATTTCGCCCGAGTCGGCTGAAGCGAGAACTGAATCGCTCAGAACG